TGCCTGCGCGGGGCCGAGCCCGAGGCCTGCTCGGGGCGCGGCGAGTGCCAGTGCGGCCGCTGCGTGTGCTATGGCGAGGGCCGCTACGAGGGCGACTTCTGCCAGTACGACAACTCCCAGTGCCCCCGCGCCTCGGGCTTCCTCTGCAACGGTGAGCGCCCCGCGCCCCCGCGCCAGCCCCCGCCTGTCTCTCCCCAGGCCCCACAGCGTACCTGCGCCCCCTGCGTCCTCCAGCCCAGGCCCCTCTCACCCAGCTGCAGCCTCACACCGGCCGTGGCCGGGGCCCTCGGCCTCTCAGAGGAGGCTCGGTCCGCAGGGTCCGGACTGCTCCACCCGCCAGGGCCTGACCATGTGCTGGCCCCTGCCAGGAGCCCCGTGTGCACACACAGGAGAGCAGGGGCCCGGCCCCGCTCTCCTCTGCTTTCCCTTTTCCAGCTTCTGTGTATCTGCCCCTCCGCTGTGCATCCGCTGTGCAAGAAATGGGGGGCCCCAGAGGCAGGCAGGCCCTGGGCTCACACGGGGGCCGGGTCGGGGGTTGCCAGGAAGGAGGCAGGACCAGCATGTTTGGGTTCCAGCCCAGGGCAGGGCCAGTTCTGTCCAATCCAAACACTTTTTAAGGGGTCAGCACATGATTTTTTTTTTAAAAATTTTATTTATTTTTGCATAAAGAGCTGGGGTGCAGGCCAGAGGTTCAGGGAAGTTGAGAGGATTCACCTGAGACAGAGTGGGGAGCAGAACAGGCAGATCGACGAAGTCCACTGCTGAGGGGAGCGGCGGGAGACAGACAGGCCTGCTGCGCCCTTGTCTCTCCTGGCTGGGGACCACACTCAGGCCTCAGTGGCTGACGCTGAGACTTTAACCCTTGCTCCACCAGGGAGGCCTCAGAGCATGAGTGTTTTTAGCTTGGGGAACCATAAATGGCCTAGGTCAAGACTAAGTCTGCCACGGTGCAGAAAGCTAGCGGCCACGTAGCAGTCGTGTGCTGGTTTCCAAAATAACCTACAGAAGCAGGCAGGGAGCCGCATTTGCCTGCAGACCGCGTTAGTAAACCTTTATTCTGGCCTCCCTGGAGGCCAGAGTCCGACCCCCGCAGGGAGGGCCCCAGGGCGCAGCAGACCCCTCCTGGCTCCCCGCTGCTCCCCTCAGCAGTGGGTTTCAGCAGCCTGTTCTGCTCCCCACCCTGTCTCTGGTGAATCCTCTCACCCCCTCCCCACACCTCTGGTCTGTACCCCAGTTCTTCTATGTAAAAATAAACACAATCTTAAAAAATAATAATAAGCCTTTCTCTAGTCTAATGGTGCTGGGCTTTGTCCTTTGGGCGAACAGTCCAAGGTTTTGATTTCACCCCTCCCGGCTGGTTGACCTGTACCCAGCACCTGCTAGGCTCACTTACGAAAGCAAAGAATTCATCTCTAGGTTCTTCTTGGTATCTGGGGACATGTTCCTGACATTTTTGATTAGTTAAATATCTTGTTCCTTTTTCTTACCCTATTGCATCGGCCAGACTCGTCAGAGGTTCTTAAATCAGAGGACCACGTGGCTGGCCTGGCTCTCGCCTAGGCGGGATGGGGGCAGCGATGAGGGTCAGGAGGTGGAGCAGGTGGCCATGGCCCTGGCTCCGCCCCACAGGATGCCCCTCGGGCGGGCAGCCCGCAGGCCTTGTGCCGACGTGGCTCCCTCTCCCTGCCCCCTCTGCAGACCGGGGCCGCTGCTCCATGGGCCAGTGTGAGTGTGAACCGGGCTGGACAGGCCCGAGCTGCGACTGTCCCCTCAGCAACGTCACCTGCATCGACAGCAACGGGGTAGGCCTGAGGCTGGCGGAGTGAGGCGCAGAGGGGCTCGGGTGGGCGGGGGTGGGGTTGGGGGGGCGCAGCTTGGCTCAGGGCTCTCTTCTCGCCTCAGGGCATCTGTAACGGGCGTGGTCACTGCGAGTGTGGCCGCTGCCACTGCAACCAGCAGTCCATCTACACGGACACCGTCTGTGAGATCAACTACTCCTCGGTGAGGCCGGGACCGCAGGGGGTGCACGTGGGGGCCCCGGGGCGAGGTGGGGCCACGGCTGGTGGGCTCCGCCCAGGGCCACGGAAACTGGCCAGGGTTTGAGGTGGAGGCGTGGGCTTGGGCAGCCCACTCAGCGCGGCGCCCACTCGCCGTCCCCAGATCCGCCTGGGCATCTGTGAGGACCTGCGTTCCTGCGTGCAGTGTCAGGCCTGGGGCACCGGGGAGAAGAAGGGGCGCCTGTGCCAGGAGTGCAGCTTCAAGGTCAAGATGGTGGACCAGCTTAAGAAAGGTGGGGCGGGGCCGGGGTGGGCTGTGAGGTCCAGCGGGGGCACGGGAGGGGCGGCCACTCCTCTGGCGGGGGGGGGGGGGGGAGGGGGGCTCACAGTCCCCGTGTGTGCCGGTTCCGGCCTCACTGAGGGCGCAGAACCCCGACAGAGGGTGGGGGCACAGCTGAGCAGTGGCCCAAGAATTTGGGGAGAAGCCACTGGCTTGGGTGGGGGCAGAGAGCTGGGCAGGGGTGGGAACACCACAGGGGCGCAGCACCCCCTTCCCTGCAGGTCAGAGACATTTTCTAGAAGCTTCCATCCTGGGTGGTGCCCAGCATGGGAGGAGGGG